CATCATAGTTTATGTGCATGTTTTCTTACCGGAAAAAAAAATAGCCACCTCAACTGAGTGCATTCCTTTTGTATGCACATTTTACAATTTTATGAGCATCTTTTTTTTTTTTCTTTTTCAATATCCCAAACTTTTTATTAAAAATATGTGTATGGAGACAGCTTGTCACACTTCACGTCAGATGAAGATTCAAAATAATTCAAAGTTATTTTGCACAAACAATACCAGACACAAAAAGAAGAGTGCACAACTTAAATACACAGTGATGAAGAGCTAATAACGAACAGCTGTGATGACGCAGTTAGTGTCCACTAAGATAAAGGAAAAAGGAAACTGACTGTGAACAAACTAAAAGTCCATGAAACTGAAACCAAGAGAGACTGAACTAAACACATAACTGTGACACAGCTCATGTCAGTGAACGGTTCAAGACATTGAAAACAACAATTTCTGATTGTTCTTCACACAAAGCTTTTATATGGCTTTAGAACACTTGAAATTTAGCTCATATGGACTACAGTTATAGGGTTTAATATAACCCAGCATTTTTTAGAGTGTGTGTACTTTTTAAAGTTTGAAGACTTCAGTCCCCATTCATTACAAAAAAAAGAGTGCGTAGCAGGCCTGTAATTCTTTGGAATTTCTTCTTTTTTAGTTTCATGGATGAAATAAAAAGTCACACGGCTTTGAAATGACATGATGATAAGCACATGCTGGTAGATGTGGTAACTACACCATCTGGCGTTAAAGAACGTCTTTTTCCATTGATGGCTATTCAAAAATATCTCCATAGCCAGCCAATTTTTTTTTTTCAAACAACATTTAAATATTTATTTTATTATAATAGAAATTAATTTTTGGGTGCACCTAACCTGTAATCATGTGTCGCTTTGGAAATGGGAATTCAGGTATAAAAAGAGAGGGGGAAAAAAACTTACATCTGGTTTACCAGTCGCCGCTGCTGGGTCGAGGTGTTTGAATAAAGAGTTGAGTTGCTGCCTTAGCTGCTTTCTGTTCTTCTTACTGGGCTGTAGCAAAATAGCTTGGAAACTGACCGGCAGACCATACCTAACCAACAGCAGAGTGTTGTGTTTATCTGTTTATATTTATGATTGATTTAGTTTACTTATTCAAGTGATAATTTTACCTGAGAACTGACTCAACAAATGTACGGAGGACCTTGATGTGAATCCAGGCCACAAAGATCTCACTGAAGTTTACCTTTAGCCAGCACACAAATGTTCTCTGTTGGGACAAACAAGCACACTTTTACCATTGCACTGATTCTTGAGACACTTTTACTGGCCATTAATTTTGAAAGTAACATGTATATTCTGAAATTAATCAGAGATGATCACTAGAATGCTCTTAACACAAATTAATTTTCTCTCTTTTTTCAACTTAATCTCTCATTATCCCCCAAAAATATCCTCTCACTAGCCCATCCTCATATCTATATTTCATGTGGTTTAAATATATATATTAAACTTCAGACAAACAGAAATATTTGTTTATATATATAAGGTCAACAGTAGAGCCTATTAGTAGTAACAACAACAAAAAATTGCATGCATGCATTTAAAACACGGAAAATGTGGTCATTTGGTCAACACTTTAAAATTTCCTGTACTGACAAATTGAAGCTGAAAATCGGGTTTGAAAACATCCTGAAGTCTCATTCTTAAGCGTAGTCTACTGAAGCTGTAGATTTTAAAGTACGTATAATAAATATTCTATATGACAGTACACGCTGTTGGTGACAGACAAAAAAAGAAATGAAATAAAATTTTAAAAAAGTGTGAAAATGGAAAAAGCAGGAGGTTGCATCCAAACACAGGTGAACATGCTGAAGAATCATTGATGCAAAATGTTTATTTGATCAGTTCTATGGTCCGTTTTGTCTCAGTAACCAGTGCGTAATAAAGAACTTTAAATGAATATTGTTTAGTGTCTATATTATGAAAAGGAATAGGCTCTCATTCATTAGGATTTACTTACACACAGTTCCTTCTTATTCACAGTGAGACGGCTCATCTCCTGCATTTGCTTCTCGGCTTCATCCAGGTTGTATTCCCGCACTGTAAACCTGTTGGCCACCACAATTCATTATTAACCCTAAATACGTATAGAGGCATCTCAGCCCTTGTTAAAAAGAAGTGCACATAATTGCATTGACTATGTACTTGTAGTGTACTTAAAATCTTAAAAGTATATATTAAAAAAGGTTTAAAAGGTTCAGAAAAAAAGGTTTAAAAGCTGTCATAGGGGCGCTACACTTCAAAAAGGTATTAATATGTACCATTTAGGTATGATTATGTACAATTGAAGTACTAATATGTACCTTTTAAGACACTTTATGCACCCTATTGAGATGTGCCCAAAGCCCTCCTGTGGCTAAGTGGTAGAGCATTGTGTTAGCAGTGCAAAAGGCTGTGGGTTCAATTCCCAAGGAGCGCACATACTGAAGAAAATGTATAGCCTGAATGCACAGTAATGTGTCTGCGAAATGCATAAATTAAGCTCACTTGTGCTTTTTGGCATTGGTTTTGAATTCGGCAATGACATTCTTAAACAGGGTTACTGTGAAAATCCCTGCATCTGCATCCTCAACCAACTTCCTGTTATACAAATATAAACATAGTTAATTATGCCATGCAAAAGATTAGAGGCAAACTGAAAATGTCCATGATGGTTTGATTGATATGTCTGAAACAGAGACAAAATACACAGAGCCAATGAGTTGGAAACCATCTCCCAGACTACAGCCAGACAAACTAAGACAGCCAGAAAGTAATTTGATAATACAGCTATTAGCCTTCTGCCCCATGGTTAAAGCAAGAAATGTCAGATGCGATTAAATCGCGACTGTCAAAACAACAGTGTTCCCATGCCTTTTGTTCAGTGAATTTCCATGGCCTTTCCAGTCGTTCATCATTACTGAATAAAGATTTCTTAATAGCATTTTGGAGGTATTACAGGGGTGGATTTCCAGATATCAATGATCAACTAATCAGTAATTAATACATTTAAACAATTAAAATGACTATTTTCAGATTTTACATGATTTTACTCAACAAACATGCATGGGGACCAACCGGCTGGAACGAGGAACCACAAACTTTGACATCGACTCATATGTCTTCTCCCACAGTGCATATGCCATTCTATAAAGACAATGTAACAAATACATTCAGAAAAAGGCTTGATCAGTAATATGTAGGTTAAAGAGTTCTCACTGACCTTGGCACCACAACTAGCAATGTTGTGAGGTACTCTGAATTCAAAACCAAGTCCTCCTTTTTCACAATATTGGTCAATGCACGGGTCTGCAAGCTTCCCCTGGTTAAGTGCAGCAGTAGTGATGGTTATTAATTATTCTTTGAAATCTCACGTAAACATCCATGGTCACATTTCAAAACTAAGAACCTTATTTTACATTTTGACATTTAAGGGGGAAATGTACGAAGCACCTACGGAGGGACATGGTGATGGGAAAAAATAAAATGGGAAGAAATTTGTATTTCAATGCTTTCGTGTTCCCGAGTAACTCTGCATTCACTCGTATTTTGCAAAATTTTTGATTTCCTTTCGAAGTGGAACTTCAGCGTAGCATCTGGACTTGATGCTATGGGGAACACCATCAGCATGACTGTGTCTGAGCACATGTAGCAAACATGTCAATTCATAGGCAAAACACATCATCAGCTCTTTTTTTTTCCCCAGAGCTCTCGAGGGAATGGGAGGCTCTCACAGCAATGCATTCATCATAAGAGGCTCTGTTATTCCTTGATTCTCTCTTTAGTGTTTGCATGGAGCGCATTCTGTTCTCAAGAGAGCTGAATGCTTTCATTGTGATGCATTTGCTGGTGGGAAGCTCCCCCCATGCTTGAATCTCTCCTGAAGGATAAGAAAAGAGCATCTGCAGCAGGACACGATCGATCGCGGGGATTGTAGGCCAGGCTTAAGGAGAAATCTGACGGGAGTGTTTCTCCTTTTTGGGCTAGCTCTGCTTTCATGTTGGTTCTAGCCTGACTGATTAATTGTGGTGTGTCTAATTCTGAGGAATTAGATGCAGAGAGAGTTCAGGCAGGTTTTAATTAATAATCCACCTCCTCCACAAGTTTGCAAGTCTTCTCAAAACCCAGTGAGTCCCGGTAAATCCAGCACCCAAACCTCCAGGACCTGCTATAGCTATATTCTCCACTACGTTAGGGTCTAAAGTAGAATTGTACACTCCTCTGTGGATGATTGCTTGGTAGAAGCCCTCTTAGGGTTGATGCAGGGTGAACAGAGTTATGTAGGGCAATATAGATTTCCTCTACTTCATGTACCTCCCTCCCCAACCACTGTTGGGTGTTAAGGTAGGGGTGTATGCTCCCCTTTGGATGCATGCTTTAACAGGCCCATGTTAAGAACCTGGCAAGCAGAGGCAGTTGGCCTGTGGGGCATCCCTCCTTTATAGTCAGCATTGGAATAAAGCGCTAGCTAGTCAGAATTGAGCTGCTCTCCCCCATGTAGTGGGTTTTTTAAGTAGGACATAAGCTTCCATGCGGCCTCCTTGGTTTTAGAATTTTGTTTTTAAATCTTCCCTGTTGAAAAAAACAGCATATGCTAGTTAGATATGTTTTGAAGTATGGCTGCTGGTTTGAGCTGGTTTAAGCTGATCCTAAGCAACTAGCTCCTGCTCAGGACCAGCACAAGACCAGCTTAAACCAGCTCATGACCAGCTCAAACCAGAAGCCATACTTCAAAACATACCTAACCAGCATATGCTGGTTAGCTATGTTTTGAAGTATGGCTGCTGGTTTGAGCTGGTCATGAGCTGGGTTAAGCTGGTCTTGTGCTGGTCCTGAGCAGGAGCTAGTTGCTTAGGATCAGCTTAAACCAGCTCAAACCAGCAGCCATACTTCAAAACATAGCTAACCAGCATATGCTGGTTAGCTATGTTTTGAAGTATGGCTGCTGGTTTGAGCTGGTCATGAGCTGGGTTAAGCTGGTCTTGTGCTGGTCCTGAGCAGGAGCTAGTTGCTTAGGATCAGCTTAAACCAGCTCAAACCAGCAGCCATACTTCAAAACATACCTAACCAGCATATGCTGGTTTTTTCAACAGGGTTTACACGGACTGGCACCAACGTATCTGTCAAGTCTGTTGTCTTTACACAACCCATCAAGATCCCTCAGATCATCTGATCAGAGGCTGTTGACTGTTCCTAGGGCAAGACTAAAAATGAGAGGGGATTGGGCCTTTTCTGTGATTGCCCCTAAACTGTGGAATAGCCTTCCGCTGTGTATCAGAACTGCTAAAACATTGTCAGACTTCAAGGCGAAGTTAAAAACTCATCTGTTTTTTCTGGCTTTGAAATTATTGTAGAGATTAATTTAACTTCTTTTAATTGTTTTGCTTTGTTTTGTTTGAATGTTGTTCTAAGTGATAAATATAAAGCACTTTGGTCAACTCTAAGTTGTTTTAAACTGTGCTCTAAAAATAAATTGACATTGACAGAGTAGAGTTTCCCAACCTTTTTTAGCCACGGCACAGTTTTGATCAGTAAAAAAATCTAAGCACTGAAATATAGCAAAATTGCACAAAAATGCATTGCTTCAAATGGCATATTAAAATGTGATATTATATTAAAAGTAGTACTCACATTTAATGTGAAGCTTAAGTCAGGTATAAACACAAGGTCATAGGTCACTTTATGTTGTTGGTGATGATAAAACAATACATTTACATATCGTCGCTGTCGGGTGGAAACCTTGTTAGTCCAAAAGCACTACCACTTTCAGGAAATGTAAAAACAAAGCAAAAAAATTATTTTAATAATTAAACTTTTTTTATATAATTAAACCGTGTCGACAGAATTGGTATTGTGACTTTATATATGATCAGACACTTCCCCTGCGGTTTCCTAGGGGTTTGAATTTTAATAGTGAGAGTCTTTGGCATTTATGTTATGTTACTCTCATATTTGCATCCCTTCTGGTGAATTTAAAGGGCTGCATTCTCCCCCCTGGAAGTAGTAGTAATATCAAAGGGTGTAGATAATACATTTCCTCTTACTATTGGAAGATATTGGCTTGGGACAGGGTTCCTCAAATCTTACCCTGGAGGTCCAATTCGCTGCAGAGTTTAGCTCCAACCCTGATCCAACTCAGCTACCTGTGATTTTCTAATGATCCTGAAGACATTGATTAGCATGCTCAGGTGTGTTTGATTAGGGTTAGAGCTAAACTCTGCAGGAAAGTGGATCTCGTGGGCCAGATTTGAGGATCCCTGGCTTAGGAAATGGTTCTACTAAGTAGTCTTGACTCTAGCTGGTTGTTCTGTAGAGTTAGGTTATTCTATTATTATGGAATATATTCTATATATTAATAATCTACATTATGGCCTATATGTCTACTAGGGTTGGGTATAGTTTGGGTTTTTTCGATACTGGTGCCAAATCAATACTTTTAAAACGGTTCCGGTGCCTAAACGGTGCCTGTACCGATACTTATTAAAAAATACAAATAAATAAATAAAAAATCCCCCCCAAAAATGATGGATTGGCCATTAGAATAGAAATAGAATAGAGAGTGCAAATGTTAGAGGGTCAAGTTTTTTAATTAAAAAAAACAACCTGATAAAATTAGAAGTAGCATTAGAATAGAGAGTGCTAGAGTTAGAGGGTTAAATGAAGATGAAAGAGATGTGTTTTCACCCGTTTCTTGACAATATTAATGACTCAGCTGCTTGGATTGAGCTGGACAGGTCATTCCACCAGGAGGGAACAGTTAATGTAGAAGTCCATGAAAGTTTTATCATAGGTAGAATGCAAAATGTTTCAATACAAGCATTTCAGTCAATTGTAATTTATGCAATATTTCAAACCTTTAACCCACTTGGGAAAATCAGCCCATGGCAATGGTTTAAAAGTAGCCCAATTCTGTGGAGAAAACGCGGACTTGGCAACCCTGCATCCAACAAGAGCTACCGGAGTCAGCTTTGACTGATCACAGGTTGAGAATAAGGAGAGATGCCTGACAATACCATGCTGGAGTATTTGCTGCTCAACAGATCCTGAGCTCATTGACAAATATCTGATCTTGTAAGATGTGCTTCCTTTACACAGAGTGCGTGTGATCGCGAAATTGAAAGTGAAAGTAAACAGCGCAAACGCTCATTCAAAAATATTTAAATACACCGCATCCTGAGAGCGGCTCCCTGGTGCACCAAAATTATATACAATATTAATATTACGGTTTAGTTCGATACGACACAGGGGGCAGACAGCACGTTGCCTGTTACATCGTTTGGGCTGCCTTGTTGAGCGCAGTGGCACTGAGAACATTATATTACACACACTTTAAGCTCTTTTATTTTCCAAATGTAATAGGATTAGTCCAACGAATCGTTCAGTTTCTAATGCGTACCGAACCGAAAGTCTCGTACCGAACGGTTCAATACGAATACGTGTATCGTTACACCCCTAATATCTACAGTCTAGTGAGGCAGGTATGCCCTCGGCATAGCGGAGTGGATATTGGTTCCCCATAGCATTAACTCCAGACACAGCATTGAAGTTCAGCTTTAAAATGGAATGGCTAGGTTACGATGGTAACCTTGGTTCCCTGAGAAGGGGAACGAGATTTGGTGTCTAGCTGCCATGCATTGGGTTTTCCTGCACATCTCCTTCAGGCAAAAGAGTTGATGACATATTTTGCAGGCCCCCTTTTATACTCATGAGTGGTTCGTCATAAACTGCCTTCAGCCAGTGAATTGGCATGTTTGCTAGACATGCTCAGTCACTAGTCGTGCTAACGGCGTTCCCAATAGTGTCAACTCCAGACACCCCATCTCGTTCCCCTTCTCAGGGAACCATGGTTACAGTCGTAACTAGACATTCGCTCCCAAACTCTTGAGTTAACCTGAGAAACTTTGCAATTCACTCTCATAACCTTTTGAGAAACTTTTTGAGAAACAAAAGCGTTGATATAGTTTTTCCTCCTACAGTTTTTTTGTTTTTTTAATTAACAAAAGTTTTGCGAGTGAACAATGTTTCTTAAGTGAATGCAAAAGTTTTGTGAGTGAACGCAAAAACATTTAAATATATTTTTTCCTCTCATTCCCACCTCATATTATTTTCATCACAAAAGATTTGCGAGTGAACTCAAAAGTTTCTAGGGAGAACGCTAAAGTATTGAAATATAATTTTTCCTTCAGTCTAATTTTTAGGAGCTCTGTAGAAATGAATTATAGAGTCATGAAAACAATGCAAAAAAATTGTCCTAAAATAGACTTCATAATGGAAAAAATATCCTACTAGTAGATATGAAAACTCACTCAGTTTTTCGCTCAAAGCTTTGAATACTGGCATTCACATGACTGTAAACAGCCCTGCGTGATTTCAACTCGGTGTCCACCTGAGAAACTTGCTAGCACACGCACACAACCACCCACACAGACAAACATTTATACAGTAGAACATACATATAGAAACAAATAGTCGTTATTGTTTAAAAGTGCTTTATGTGAGGTGAATACTTTGGAGATTATGTCAGTGAGGGTTTTCAGAGGCTGTGCAGTGGGGTATTTCGCTCTGTCCCATTGAAACCTGGTCACATATGTTGCCAAATCCACTGAAACATCAAAAAACACTGAATCAGGAAGCAGTAAACTGTAAGTGAATGCTGTAAGCAAAACAGCAGCATAATTACAACAGCAGGCAGATAAAAGGCCTATATTGCAAAAGATCACATTTCTAAAGTGGGTTACATTGCAGAGTTCCGTAGTTCAGTGTGCTACGCTTGACAAAAATATTCTCAGCACCAAAACTCTACTTGCAGTAACATTTCTGCTATGCAGCAATGCACTGTTTATGTGGTCACTGTGAAAACAGGAACCTGGTAATAATAAATATGCACTGCTTTTGTGAGTGCATGCTGTAATTTATCACAGAAAATAATTTATACTCATCCATTATGCAAACATTAGTCCATTATATTTACACTAATGCACTAACATTTATTGTACCAAAGGGTTTAAAAGTGAGTTTTAGAACTGTAAAACCTGTAAGCACATGAACGTTGTAGCGTCTGGAACACTCCAACACACAATATATATTTTGTTAGCTAGATTTCACAAATACTTTGTAACACCCCAGGACGCCGAACAAGACCCTGGTTTCATGGTAACCCGATACATTTACAACCTTGTGGAATGCGAGCCGGCTCTCATTCTGCTTTCTCCAGAAACAAAGGGACACAAATGCACAGGAGAAATGGACTTTTCTACTAATTAATTCATAGGAAAACCTTCTTTGAATGAACACCCATTTTCTTCAGGCCAGTGTGTATATTATTGCTGTGTTGTATTTAATCTGTTGTATTATAGACTATTTTTATTCATGCTTACGATAAACCACCTTTTCACTATATGTAATCTTACCTTGTTTAGTATCTATGAATTTGCCTTCGTATGATCGAAACAAGCGTGTATATTATATGGTGGTACATAGGCAATATATATTAGGGCCCTGAGAATCGTTAATAATTTCGATTTAAATCCATTTGCAAATTACCATGCTTCGACAACAAAGGGTCGTAAACCCTCCAGCAATTGCCACCTCCCGCTCGGAAATTCCATTGTGCTCATGGGACAAGCCCATCTTGAAAGGCGGAGATCTTCTCCGACCTTAAAGACCCGGCTCCAGGGACCCGCCTCAGTCGGTGATTCAGTCAGAAGCAAAGATGATGTGAGAAAAACGCTTCAGGATACCAAAGCATCTGTGCCAGGCCTTTTCTTCGGCCTAGTCCTTTCCATTCATCAAGTGACACTGACTCAAACTGGTTCTTTTCATCAACTAATTTCAGCAAGATCTTGGACCTTAAGATGTAACCAATGCATGCCAGTGCAATTAAAGGAGTTTAGTGTCTGCCTATTTTAAAAGTTGCCCACAGTTTTAGAACATTGTGCTTTCAGTCCTTCAAGACTTGTTGCATTAAATAAGCACTTATTTGAGTGCTTCTCTAATGTAACAATAAACTTCTTGCACTTGTTTAAAGAATTACAAAACGGGTTTACTGTAAGTTAAAACCGGTTTAAACATATATGCAGTTATGTGTGCCTCACACATGAATACTAAAGTACAGTATTACACCTTTAATTTCACTCAGCGAGTGAAACACATAATGACCACCAGGTTGCTTGTATATATGCAAAAGACAGTGCTTTTTCCCTGCTCACATTCCATGAGGTCGTAAAATTATCTGGTGTCAGGGTTGCCATGGTTTGGTGTCATTTGCAGACATCCTGGCATCCAGTTTATTGGGTGAGGGGACTGTGGCGATTTGTTAATCTAATGAAGAACTGATTTGTTAAATCAAATGAAAAATTGTGTGTTTGATTGGTCCAGACGCTACACTTGTATAGTCTGGAAGTACGATTTCAATGGTGTCTGACGATCATTCTGATGAGTCCTGTGCTCTGTTGATAATACTAACAAACCATTACTGAGAATTTTGATTAACAATCAAAGAAATGAAATAATCGTGCAAGGCAATGATCATTTGCATGGTAACACACATCAAGCCATGATTATATCATATGCAGTGTTGGGGAAAGTTACTTTTAAAAGTAATGCATTACAATATTGCGTTACTCCATAAAAAAGTGACGAATTACGTTACTTAGTTACTTTTTATGGAAAGTAATGTGTTACATTACTTTTGCGTTACTTTTTAAATCTGGACAGGGCTTGCTTGTTTGTTTTTAAAATAAAAAAGTTCTATTTTTGGCAAATATAAAAGCTTTTCACACCAAAAGTGAAATTAATAAGCCTCAGGCTGAAGGGAAAGTACATGTACGTATGAAAGTCAATTTAAGTCCGTACAGTAGAATGCAGAAGAAGAAATTTCAACACACTTCAGCAATAAAAAAAGACACGCAAATGTTTGTCTAGAGTAATTTGTGCTTATTAGTATTGTTGAACTGGATCAGAAGCAAAGACATTGGTTAATAGAATGGGATTAAATACATAAAGCATATTCGTGTTGTTTAACATTTAATTATTGCAGGTTTGCGTCATATTCTGAGTTGCATTATTTTTATTCATTTTGAGGAATACTGAATCTGTGTTTGTGTGTTTTTGTGTGAGTGAGATGAATTAATGCATATTCATATTTATTTTAGAACTACAGTAACATCTGATTTCTCTCATCATGGGGACAGGAGAGCTGTCAATAAATAAATTGGAAAAACAAGTAACTTGCGTTACTTATTTGAAAAAGTAACTCGGATATTCTCTTGTAAATTAAAAAGTAATGCGTTACTTTACTAGTTACTTGAAAAAAGTAATCTGATTACGTAACTCGCATTACTTGTAATGAGTTACCCCCAACACTGTTCATACGTAACTTGACCTTGCGATGAACATGGCCCGGCTCAGAGGAGGTGGCCGTCTGCTAATGAGCTCTTCTCTGCTTTCTTATGGAACAGGTTTAGCCATTACAGAGGAGTGCTCCCCACATTCACTCACCTCCGTTCACCAGCATGCTCTCCAGGAGTTTTCCACTGAACTCTTCCATCACCTCACCCACACACTGAGAGGTCTGACGCATAACTCTGTGTTATAGTGGTGCAAGAGAATGCAGAAGAGTGAAATGCTGTTTAAGGGTCTATACCTGAACATTAGTTCATGTACAGTGTATTATGAGCTGACACTTTTTACAGCATTTAATTATATTTTAAATTTATACATTTTGTGTAAAAGAAATGTGCATAATTGTATTGAATGTGCACTTGTAGTGTACTTCAGATTTTAAAAGTCTATTTAAAAAAAACTGTACTAGCACTTATTATAATATTAATTAATTAAAGGGTCACTTAAGTATATTAAAGAGAGTACACTTCTATGTTTCTTAACACACTTAAGTATATTTTTTAAAAGTTTATTTTACGTTTTAAATCACATTTGATCATCTTTTTTTCGTGCTTTGAAGAAGCACAGTTATTTTGATGTGTTGACTAACATACTAAAGTAACTATCCAATATTACATTTAGTTATTTAGTTAAATTATTTTTAATTTACCACATTTCAACTTCATCATTACAAATCAACACATTTCAACACAAGACATACACGTTTCAATAAAATTGACATTAAAGTATATATTTTATAGATTTTACCATAAATGCTTGTCAGTACATTTTGAAGTACACTTAAACTTATTTCCAAAAAACAATACAAGTATTTATGAATTATGAAGTGGGTCAAAAAAGCTCTCAGTTCAAGTTAAACTATAATACATTTTCATTTAGATGCAAATGACATGCAATTAAGTGTCCAAAACAGGGTTATTATCATTAACTAAAACTAAAACCATAAAAAATCAATACTTGAAATAAAATAAACATTAACTGAAATTAAATATTTTTTTATTTTTTTATATTGAAATTATAAAAAATAATTTCTATTGAATAATTTCTATTGAAATTATTTAATTTCAGCTAGTTGAGCTAGCTAGAAGTACTAAAATAACTTAAACTAAATAAACTAAAAACTAAAACATTAAATAAAATTTTCATGAAAACATCAAATATAAAAATAAAATCTAATTCTAAATATATATTACACTGGTCTGAAAACATTACATTCAGTTCACACTTAATTATATTATTTTAAAGTGTATTATTTTCATAATGCTTAATTATCATTATCCTGGATGAGAGATATTTTGCCACTCCAAGATCACTGAATTATTCAACGCTAAAGGTTTCAAACAGTATTGTAACACAACCTCAGTATCTTGTTAAGTTCAAAGAGTGGAGTCCAGTTGTTATATTATATTATATTATATTTTTAATCTGATTCTTTTTTTTAAATACACTTTAGTATACTTAAAAATAACTACTTATAACCACACTAACATTCACACTTAGAGCTATGACCCCAAAGGTCACCCCAGCACCTGAACCCAGTGTAACCTTGTCTGGAAGTCATATGAATGGATATCGTAGACTGAAAGAGAGAAAGGAGAAAAAGAGAGGGCAGTTTCCACAACACATAAACATTGTAGCTGAGACGGGAAGACTCATGTCAGCTGGCACCTGTAACTGGACTCGACTGGATTGAGTGACTCGCTGAAAATTGTATTACAGCAGCTCGAGGGTTTTCCCACAAACACACAGATGAACGTGCTATAGAACACATCAGTCTGATCTATAAGCTAGTCCTTATTGGTAATACGGGAAGAGAATATATTAATGTGACAAAGGACCCATAAACCCCGCAAACTACACTGTAAAAAAAAAATTTAAAGACATTTACAGTAAAATACCGGCAGCTGTGGTTGCCAGAACTTCACCGTAAAAAATATGGTAGCAACATTTTAGGTTTTGCAGACTTAATCTAAATTCACAATAAAATACTGTATTTCATTAACTGATGTAATGTTAATAAAAAAAACATATTTAAGTACTACAATCTGTTTTGAACCATTGTAATGAACTGATAACCACCAAAAACTGGTGGTGATGAGAAAGTCACATGATGAACTAAAGCTCATCACAAACAGCTTGTCTGCGAGCTGAGGAGGACAATACTTTTATATATAGAAGTTGCACACAGTGTCATTCACACAAACACTAAACCCCATCATGGTGACTAACATGATACTGAAATAATGCAATAAACATTAATTCAACAACATTAGATGTAAGATTAAACCCTAGTGTACAAAACTTATAAGAAAAAAAACAAAAAATAAGCGTTATTTCAACAAAAAAAACATCAAATATGAAGTGTCATGCAGGGAATTCTGGGAGTGTCAATTTACGTTATTTTTCACTGTAAATTATACAATGACTTTTTCTTTTTCACTTCCAAAAACCTGTGGTTAATGTGATTCTATTTTACTGTAGAATCACATTAAATGTAATTCCATTTATTCACCGAATATATATGGAAACTTACTGTTAACCAGTTAACAGGTTTTTACTGTAGCATCTTTACAGTCTTTTACTGTTAAAATCACAATCATTTTTTTCAGTGTAATAGAAGATCTGATAGATTCTTAATCCTATAAAGTCTACTGTATCATATTTGATCGGAACATTTCTATGGCCTCTAAATGATAAAAACTTAGCGGAAAAACCTGTTTCACACACAATCTACTCCATGCCTTCTGTCGTCTGGTTGATACAGTAGTTTGGATGTTTTCAGCAAGTAAAAGGTCTTTTAATTGTACAACGTCCTCGTGCTTCATGTGTCTTAATGCTGTGAAATCTTTACTGATTTTTATGAAGTGTATGAATAACATGGATATTGTTATATCTTTTATATTGGACTGAAGCAACTTTATTTGATTATCCAAACATCATGTCTTAGAAAAATCATGTTCAAATGTGAGTCTCAAATAGGATTTTCGGGAATGTTTATTTGTTCATCTCTCATCATCATTTTATTGCATTGCATTATATGTTTGGATCATAAAACTAAGCATCTTAATCTTACTAAGACATATTATTAGAGATATAGAGTTACGACTGATATTTATATAATTTTATGCAACTATCTGTAATACTGTTATAAAGATCTCATTGATTTAAATTACAAGCTATCAGAATTTCAGCTTAACTATTGGTCATATAACAATCAGTATCTGCAAAAATACCTATGTTTGTTCACTTTGGGCGTATGAATAAATTGAGGTGTTTTTTTTTACCCTACGTATTCTCACTATTTCATACTATATGAACCATAATGTATCAAAAAAGCCTGATGTATCAAATATGATACAAAACATAAAACATACTATTTTTAGATTTTTAGTCTAAAGGTTCAATTAACTGTTATACTTTTTTTTAAATATACACATATATAGCTTTTCTGACTATTATTACTATTAAATAGCAGGCTTTACAATGACATTAGGTGATTGCAAACACATCAACTAAAAATATTCCATTATTAGCATCATACTCTAAAAATAACTTGTAAACTTGTAAACTAGAAACCTATACTAATTGGGACAACGGTGGGCCTATTATTACTGGGATGTATTATTATATTGAAAGTAGTTCGGTAATGAACACATGATGTATTTATATTTAGATACACACAAATGTTATTTTTTAAGCAACAGTGCTTACCCCTCTGTATAGGAGTCCAGTCGGGACAGGTCATCAGAGACCCCCAGCAGCACGTCCAGCGTTCCTACCTTCATAAACATCACAAAAAAAAAGAGTTACACAAGCTACAGCAATGGCATTATAGACGAATCAAACATAAAAAAGAATCCAGTTCCCTTTCGAACGGTCTCTCCCGTTGCATTTGCACGCTATGGGGAAACTCCTGTTTACTCTGATACAGAAGCCTGATTTGTTCACGTTAATGTAGCTGCAAGAAAAAATGGCGCTTCAACCCGCCAAAAGGGTTATATAAGTCGGCTCTGAGTGCCATTTTGCTAGAAATGTTCTCCTTCCGTGATGAAGATCATCTCCTCGCTGGACTCTGAAGCAAGAAGCCAAAGCAAGAAGCTCAGCCTGCTGCTTGCTGCCGTGAGAAGAAGTACCAGCAGCGGAAGATTGCTAGAAGCCTTCCCTTGCGGGTATCCGGCATCTATACGAACAATATCAAATCAGACTTCAGTATCAGAGTAAATAGGAGTTTCCCCATAGCGTGTTAACGCAATGCTTATTCCCTTATCTCAGGAACCGAGTTTACATAAGTAACCAGAGTGTTTATCTGCCTCTCACATGTTGAGGGGTTTAGTTTAGAACACTAAGGGCTCATTATACTGCATGGTCCCCCCAAAAAATATATGACTTAAACCTTTAAGAGATAAAACGTTTAGCCAATGTAAGGTTTTAGCATCAAAACTTTGAAAATTCTGAAACCACATTTTGAGAAGTGCACTCCTTATTGTAACGAATCAGCTCATGAGGAAATATGAATAATTAATCATAACTAGCTATAATTAATTATGAATATTTAGATCCGCTGTAGATATTTAGCTGACCTCTCAGGGTCAACTGTCTTGTCAATTCTAAGAACGTTAATTTCCTGGTTAAGGGAAATAACTTTCTTACTGTACAATTCTACAAAAGCTTCTAGCATAAATCTGCATGATTAAGTGACTCCAGTTATGAGCAAACAATGAACCATGTCAAGTGTGATACAAGTAATGTTTTATTAACTACATAAACACTTAAACTAGTCTAACATACTACATAAACACATAAACTGGTCTAACATACACATACACACACACACACACACACACA